CAGTTTTTGTATTCATTTGTACCTGTGCAAGAAAAGGGAGGAGGGGAGATCACTGAAGCTGAAACTCAAAGGGCTTTACACCAGACTATGCTGATTTTTTGTTTTTACAAGAAAACTCTATGGGAAGCAATATTCCAGGAGGGTTCTATGGAAAAGTGATTCCTCTAGCAACTATTCTAAACCACTGACTTTTTTATAATGAATAGTGTTTTGCTTCACATTTTTGAGTTGCACATGTATAAGCCCTCTTAATTGCCACAATTCTGGTTATATAAGGAAGTGGACTTTCGGACACCTTACGGATACAAGGTGCCACATTCTCAGGAAGTTAGTCTGAAAATTTCTGACCATAACCCTGGAAAACACATTGCACTTGTCCTCCTGAGGCATAGGATTTCTTCCATTAACCCTAGTGTAACCCTCTGACCTTTTAAACTTGTCCACAAGAACGCACACATTAAAAAATTAGGTACTGCTGGGCATGATCTGAGATGCTAGGTCAGCTTCAGCAGCTGGAGGCCCTTAGCCACTATGGCTGACATTGTGTTTCCATTCCACATTCATCCCTTTTTTACAGAATTCTGAATAAATGGAAGTGGGGATGCAGATGTTACCAGATGTTTGCAGCACCAGCACAGGCTGTGTGCCCCAGGCACTTCCTATTCTGTAGCTCAAACTTGGTTTAAATGTTGGAGGCAGGAAAACAGAACAGCTTAGCTATGTGGTCAATCACATCTTGGTTTATTGAAGAGAATTTAGGAACGTGTTGCTTTCCATAAAATTGGAAGTGTTAACTTAGGGCCTGAAGTGGAATCTCATTAGATATTTGGGCTTGATGGTAAAAGGCTATTAAAAGAGTTCATGACTTCTATCTTCTAGAAAGAACAGCAATGTTTAGTGCCCATACTATAAAGCTACCTAAAATCTCCATTATTCAATGAAGACTTTATTATTGGACTGCTGAGATGTCTTTTAGTAGACCTACTGATTTTAATAAGGAGTCAGAAGAGGCAGATTTCAGATGCATAAGTTTAAATGCTGAAAACCAGAACATGGTGGATGTGCTCAAGTTTTATAACACAGTAGCTATAAATTATTAAACCTATAACATACATACCTTGACATTTCATTGCATTGGAGTCAGAAGAATTTTCATATAGTGCTGCATCAGTATGCCAAAAAAGTAAACTTACCTTCCCACTGTTCTTCAATAAATTCTCATATATTCCTGAATACTGAGCTCTCAGCTTATGTGGACAGGTTCTGTTTTGCAGGTTCAAAGGTTTCCACTCAGTCCTCAGAGTGCAGCACTCAGAATAATTCCACCAGAAAACTGGTCCTGTTTTTCCCAAATGAAACCCTCTTACAAAGTATTATGTAGTGCAAACAGTGAACATCTGCCATGATGAACTCTGAGATTGAAAAAAAAGGCAAGTATGCACCATTTCAAACACTCACTCATGTAGTGAAACTAGCAAATCTAAAATAAAAGTTAAGGTACTCAAACACTACTGTAAGCAGACAACAGCATGTGAGGCAAATATCAAACATGCATATAAATTTAATTTTTATAGTTGAAATGGCTTAAACCAATGTAGATGACTCAAGAGAAGTACCAGAAAGGCACTGAATGAAAATGAAACACATTTCTCTCATCCTGAAAGCTGTAGGAAATCCTTGCAATTAGAGCTCCAGGTCACAATGGTTCTTCTTGTAGAACTTGATTTTTCTCAATGCAGTGCTTTACTCTTGCAGAATTACTGCTGTTCCCTGCAATTGCCAGCACCCTTTTCACCAATATCAACTCTTTAGCATTATGTACCCATTCAGCAGTACTTGGACTTTTGCAGTATTTATAATCTTTGTCAGAACAAATGAAAGAGAATGATTTACTTATGCAGTGGTTCTTATCCATTTCTAGTCAATGTCCCTTCCATGCTTCTCGACAAGCTGTCTTTTTGATCATTAGAAGCTGATATTAGATATCTAGAAGGGCCCCATTTGGCCTTTTATCCACCCAGCCATACTGAGAGACTGATCTAATCTTTAGTGAATATTAAAGCTGCCCCAGGGCATGCAAATTTATGTTGTCAGGAAGGCTTCCCTATGGATCTGCTGAAGATGTCCAGGCCCCAGTTGTGCTTCAGCTTTGCATCTGATGGACATATAACTTCTTCCATGACAATCTCTGCCAAAATTCTCCAAGGTGTCCTTTCTGTGGCATGGAGGAATTATATATATATATATATATATACACACATAAATACATACATACATACATATATATATACACACACACACATATATATACATATATATACATATATATATATATGTACACCAGTCTCTTCATTTGGAACAGGAATATCCTGTAAAACCTGTGACTTGGTAACTTGGTTACAAAATTAGTATGTTGATTTACTTGAATTTCCTAAACTGTTTCTTCCTTGCACTTTCAAATATATATGTATCATTTGTTAATAGTCAGCATGGTAATAAGGACTCTTACCTTCACAGTAAGTTTTTGCCGGTATTGTTATCCTGAAAGCAAAAAAGCAAAAGCCAGTGCTCTGGAGTTACTAAATGCTGACAGTCAACACCAAAGCAAAAGTTTCAAAAGTCTCTTTTCCAAAAGATTTCTTTTTCTAACTGGATCTGGGAGAACAGTCTATTGGTCTGATGGGTCGATACAGGAAGTTTGACAATCCTGTTTTTACTGGATTCAAAACCCAAATGGTGTATTTCACTGGGGGGAAATAAGTGAGCAGCTTGAAAACATCCCAGATTTTGGGAAGAGATGATGAATTATTTTGAATATATGTCATACTTAGGAAGAATACCAATGGCAGGAGTGTTAGAATGAGGTGACCTTTCCTTTAAGGTCCACTCGAGAATGAGTCATTGAAATGACATGTATTAGACTGGAGAAATGCACATGTCCCACGTATGAAGCAGGCCTGGTCCCGTGTCTCTTCTGACAGTGATTTGCTGCAAATTTGCTTTCCTGATGACAGAAATCTCTGTGAGCTGTCTTTCTCACATTGCCAGGTATCATTTTCCTTTTTTCTTTGATGGAAATATCTACTTCTTACTCCCCTGTGTATAAATGCAAACAGGAGTTTTTCTGTGCAAATACCTGACTAATGAAAAGCCTGGTACTTACATGCAACCTTGACACCATGAAAAAGTCAGGACAAGAAAAAAAAATTTTGGAAAGACAGACTGTCTTTTTGTCAGGACAATGGTAAATATGACTTCACCCCAAGAAAGAACTAAGGATAGTTGATAAAATCATAGTAACAACTTGTTAGGGAGCAAAGTGATCAAAGAGCCTAGTTAACAACAGAAGTAATTGCTTTCTGTTTGTCTAAGCACAGGCTGTGTCTGTTATGCCCTATAAAGAGTAATTGCAAATGATATAATTTTAACCTCCTGTCTCCTGAGACATCATCGAGAGTAAGGTTGTATGGTGCCTTATCCTGGACAAAAAAACACACATGTTTTAATTTGGGAGCACTATACTGCAGCTACTGCCTCCCTGAAGGTCACTGGGAAGTGGTCAATTCATTTAGCAGGATAGTTTAAGTTCTCAGTGCAGTCCTTAGCTCTGCTTCCAAGATTCCAATATAGCTGATGCTGTGAGCATGTGATTACCAGCCAGCAGAAAGGATGTATAGATGCTGCAGCTGAGAGTGATGTATGCAGAGGAAGGTACTTTCCTAATGAAGTAGATTAAACCTTTATGTATCTTAATTATTTTAGGAGCATCAATGACTTAATCAAGATGACTGTAAAGTATTTTACCATATTTATGAAACAGACACTACTTTTTTTCATATTATATATGGTGGTAAACAGCTGAGGGAGGGAAAGAATTAAATCCACTTTTGGAGCAGCTCCTTCCCCAGTCTTTTGTCTGTGACCCATAAGGAATGAGCTACTCTGTGCAGCTGCTAGTATCTGACAGCTGTGCATCTGACAGAGGCAGAATCCTTTTCTTTGTGTGCAATGTATAACCCACTTTTAGGATAAAAAATTACCACCACATAGTGCATCCCCTTGTGCATATATTAGGTTAAAGAAGCAAATCAAATTATGGTTTACTGGAGTGCATATAGGAAAAAAGGGGGGGATGAAAACAGTGTAGGAAGAATAAAGATACGGGACAGTTATTCCCATATGAGATGCTAGTTAAAATACTAGGAAAGGAGGGAAAGGCAAAAGTATTATTTGGGACAAGTTGGGGAAGGTTGGGTTTTGATCGTCCTCTAGGGTGATATTTACAATGAAACATTTTCATGCAAGAATATTATCTCTTCCTTGTGCTGTCTAGATTTTAATTCAGCATCTTCTTGACTAGCCTGTGCTCTGCTTCTGTAACAGGAGGCATCTGCTAGCATACAGCACCTTCTTGCCCTCTCTAATGTGTTCTGTTGCTGCTTTCATGAAAAGGTGCACTTCTGAAGCCCTTGCTTCCTTCTGACTTACTTCCCTGTTTACTGATTTATGTATTCTCCAGGCTACAGCTTGGCCTTCCCAGTTTCTCAGGCATAGAAGTTTCCATGGTAACCTCCTGAGTGGAGGTAAAACCATAGTGGAAATCAGCGTTCAGCCAAGGAGCTGCCAGTGTCCAGGAAAACTGCTCAGGACCAGGTTACAAAACATTCTGGCATGGTAAGTGCAAATCCCATCTGGGGCATTTGTGGCTTTCTCAGTTGTCCTTTTACATTTCCTTCATCTTCCTTGTTGCCCTATTTCTTCATCTCACCAGACCTCGTGTAGCACCTCAAGTATGCTGTGATAAGACACTGGCTGTGAGTGTCCTGAGGCTGCCCTGCCCTGCCTACACCATCAGCCCTGGAGGATTTGCTGCTGTGGCAGTGAGGGGAGCAGAAATAGGGAGATGAGACCCTCAGCTGGCACTACCACCCCTGCTGAACTGCAGCTTGTCAGCCCAAGACTGGCTTCACTTCAGAGGTAAACACAGGTTCAGAAGTTGTGATATATTATCTTGCAGCAGTCTGCAACAGGAATCTAAGCCAGAGAGAAGACAATTGTCTAGTTTCAGGTGTTTGTAATCCAGCTAATAAACTCACTGGATCATCTACTCTTTACTGATAGCCATGAGTGTTGAAAATTTTCTTATAGAATCATAAAATGGTTTGGGCTGGAAGGAACCTTTGGAGTCCTATCAGTCCAATCCCCCTGCCATGGGACACGGACACTTTTCAATAGTTCAAGTGGCTTGGACTGCCATCCGGCCTGACGTTGAATGTTCCCTGGGAATGGTCACCTTCCGTTTCTCTGACCAATCTGTGCAACCTTTTCACCATCCACATGATAAAAAATGTTTTCCCTATATCTAGTCTAAATCTACATTCTTTTAGCTTGAAATTATTAGTTCTGGTCCTATCTCTACAGGCTCTACTAAAAAGTCAGTCCTCATATTTCTTACAAGATGCTTTTAAGTACTGAGAGGCTGCAAAAAGGTCTCCCTGGAGACTTCTCCAGGTTGAATAATCCCAACTCCCTCTTCCACAGCTTTGTCACAGCTTGAAGAGAAAGAGCACATGGATTTGGAGCAGTATTTCCTTGTGCTTCTGCTCCCAGGAATCACTGCAGTCTGACCACACAGCCTGCCATGTAGCCATGGTAGGACTTTGCTGGTCAATTTTCTGTTTTGTAGGAGGATTTTTTGAAAAATGCACCCAAAGGGATGGTAGAATTTTATTAAAACATGAAAACAGCCCAGACTGTCCAAGTGAAACTTAGTAGCTGCCCCACAGCAAAACCTGGCACAGCAACACCACAAATAAGAGAGACAAGAAATTGGTAATTATCCACTCTAGTCGCAGTGCCAAGCAGACCTACTTGTTTGCAGAATCACAGAATCATTTTGGTTGGAAAAGACATTTGAAATCATCAAAATCCAACCTATGGCCCAACAGCACCATGTCAATCCCACCATAGCACTGAGTGCCACATCCAGTCCTTCCTTAAACATCTCCTGGGAAAGTGACTCTACCAACTCCCTTCCAGTGTCTTATCACCCTTTCTGTGAAGAATTTTTTCCTAATGTCCAACCTAAACCTCCCCTGGTACAGCTTAAGGATGTATCCTATTGTCCTGTCCCTCATTCCCTGGCAGCAGAACCTGACCCCTACCTGGCTGCCCCCTCCTGTCAGGGAGTTGTAAAGAGTGATAACTTTCACCTCCTTTTTTCCAGGCGGAGTCCCCCATCTCCCTCAGCTGCTCACAGGACTTGTGCTCCAGTCCCCTCACCAGGCTTGTTGTTCTTCTCTGGAGATGCTCCAGCCCTACAATGTCCTTCCTAAACTGAAGAGCCCAGATCTGGACACAGCACTCCAGGCTTGGCCCAACCAGTGCCAAGTTCAAGGGAAGAATCACTGCCCTGCTCCTCCTGGCCACAAAATGCCTGATACAGTCTAGGATGCCAATGGCCTTCTTGGCCACCAGGGCACACTGCTGGCTCATTCAGCAGCTGTTTAGGCACTAACAGGAAGGTTAAGCTGAAGAGAGATCTGCTGCCTCTTTCCACAACACTTCTCCACACTTTGAATCCTAGGTGGTTTCCTTCAAGGCCAATGTGTCTTGATGAAGGTGACTGCAGCTCCTTAGGGTCACCAGGGCTGTTCCAAATTCTGGCTTTCTTACTGCTTGTCTGTTACCATTGACAGCATGTGCAATCAGCATAAGAGGAGCTCTGTTCAAACCTATTCTGAAATTTACTCTCATGAAACTCAGAGTACTTTCTCATAACAACACAGTCTTCTATACTTCTGATTTTAGGAAGTCGTTCCACAGCAGCACTTTCAGCAGTTCTTTTTAAAGATTATTATCTGCATATTTGCTAATTCTCCTGCATGATCTGCTTAAACTCACAAATCTAGAATTATCTTGTAGAAAAAATATTAAGAATTTATAGAATTTATCCTAGAGTTCTAGGGAACATGTGGAGTCATGCAATTCAGGTTTATTTTAACTATAATTCTTAGTTCTCTGTATGCTATACCAAAGGCAAAAGCAAACCTTTTTGTGGAGCGGTCTGGGAATGTCCTGGAATATTCCCTTCCCTGCCCCTGCAAAGCTGGCTGCCAGCTACCAGCAGACATCACCTACAGGCATGCCTGTTTTTGTTGATCTCTTCTGTTGTGGGAGGAAGTGATCCAGCTAAAGAAGGACAGTTTTCCTGTTCAGAAATGTCCTTCTGGAATGCACTGTCCTCACTGTCCTGGAATGATTTTATGATACTGGTATCCCCAGTCGTCTGGTTTATGTTATATATTAAGTCTGCACCTTTCAGACTGGCTCTGAGAGAGAAGCAGGGGAAGAAGAAGCACGCAGTTTGTGTTGAAAGAAAACATCACTCCCCCACATCCTGCTGCTGGACTGTGGTGTCTGCAGCACGGACAGACAGCGGGACAGAGCTTCTCTTTGGCTTTTGGTTAGTTTTAGCTAGCTGAGGCAGAGAAGTTCCCTGGACCTTTTTTTTTTTTCTCTGTATCTCTGAAAATCTGCTTTGGGCTGAAAAACAACCCCAGCCAAACCCCGGGAGCTCACGCCTGTGGCCCACCGGGGCCTGGGCCTTGGCACTTTCCAGCACCAGAGGGACTGATAAGAACCTGAGTAGGCCAAGCTACACCACATGAAAAGGACTTTTCTTCCTAGATCTGCCATCCCATCAAACAGTGAGAGGTTTTTATTGTTTAATATTATTCAATTTCTGTTAAATAAACATCTTTTTCCACTTCTCTCCAAGGAAATTTTTTTTCCTGGACCAGTTGTGGGGAGGGGTCGTTTGAATTTTTTCCCTGGGGAAACCCCCATTTGGATTTTTTCTGCCAAATTTGCAATAAATTAGGACACTCACCAAAGTATGACAGTAGTACTTTGGCCTGCTTTCTCAATATAACAGGTTTCCCTCAGATTCAGTAACTGGCTAATTAGCTCTGAAGGGAGATGGAGTGTTAATAACTTTCAAACCTTCTCATCATTGGACCCACTTCTCAGAAAGGGAGAGGTCAAACAGCTCTGGCATTCTGCAGTACACAGAAAAAATATCTGACCATGTGAGAGCAATGCAGTGAGAAAGACTTGCTACGGTCAGTGGGAGAAAATCTGGAACAGAAGTTTGCTAACAAGAACATATATAAATTGAAAAAAAATTGCGTCTCTGAGGTGTTTTCTGATGCTTTGTTATTCACTAGTTGTAGACTACCAATGTATGACATATTTGCTCTGCATTTGGTATTACCACACAGCTGACACAATGAAAAATACACTAAGCTGAAAACTAGCCTCCAGAAAAAAGAACTATTTTGCATTAAATTCTAGAACAGCAATTACTTCTTACAATAAGGGCTGGAAAAATCAATCTACATTTTGCTTCTCTGAGGAGTGACAATTTTCTCACTGTCATTTCTCTGATTACTTGACCACAAGGTGCATTTTTGTTGCTCTCTTGATGTCTGTCCTTGAGACGTCTCAGTAAAAAATGCACAAAACACTGTATGATGCAACTTGGACAGTGCAAAGCAAAGATTTAATTTTAATTATTGTGAGTATAGATTTATGCAACTGACAAGACTGAGAGAAATACACCAAAATATCTGACAGAGAGGCGTGCCATTGATGTAGGCGTATTCTTTTCTTTTCTTTTCTTTTCTTTTCTTTTCTTTTCTTTTCTTTTCTTTTCTTTTCTTTTCTTTTCTTTTCTTTTCTTTTCTTTTCTTTTCTTTTCTTTTCTTTTCTTTTCTTTTCTTTTCTTTTCTTTTCTTTTCTTTTCTTTTCTTTTCTTTTCTTTTCTTTTCTTTTCTTTTCTTTCAACATATTCTTTTGTTTTTGTCTCCATCTTTACACTTTATGTTGCATTGGGAAGAGGTATGTAGCAGAGACACTCCTAGGGGCAGAGTTAAAGGACCACTGTCTTTTCAGTATGGTCTTCTTTTATGTTTGTAAAAAACACAGGTGCAAGCCATCATCATTTTGACTGCATCATGTGTATCAGCACTGGTAGAAAGTCGCAGGTGTCAGGGCAATGGGGATTTTGCCTACATACTTGAATTATTCTCCCAGGACACAGTATGTGAAGGTTTCTCATCTCAGATTCACTGTCTCATGGATACCAGGTCACCCGAAGTAGCATTTTGTTCTCTGATCCTCTCTGCCTGGATGCTAAAATTAGAGAAACAAAGCATCCTGATGGAGATCTACCTCCTCAGAATGTTTCTTGGTTTGCTCTGACATGCCCCAGCACTTAACCTGAGCAGTAGAAAATGCTAAGCAGTTTGTCAATGTTAGCATAAAAGTTGCTTTACATGGTATTCCAGGTTTTTTCTTCTTTCTGGCCTGTTCTTGTGGAAGTTTGCTGTAATATCTGTAAATAAACATTCAGTTAGAGTGAGATAGAGCCTACACTGAAAACACTTGAATCTTGAAGCTGCTCGTGGTAGTAACAAACACTTTACCTGTTTCCTAATCAGTGTTCTTCTAACCTTAACAGCCAATTAAGACACCACACACAGTATATGTGCCAGCCTTCAGAATGCTTTTTCCATGATAGAATTAACATAGCATGAGGGAAACGTCTTGTAAATAAAATCTCTTGTAAAATCTCTTGGCTTGGCATTACATTTCCATCGATTTCTGCAGATTTATGTGACCATTTTACTGCCTGGAAAGATACACAGGCCTGAAAGGGAAACCTTCCTTCTGAACCTCAGCTCTGACTTTTGTAGCTGCTCTGTGATTTGGAGCTGCAGGAGGAAGTTATCTGTTCCTGCTGCTTTGTCTGAAGTCTGCCAAAATTGCCCTAATAATTGAGGTGTGGAGCTGGATTCAGGAGTTTATTTGGGTAGCATCTCAGATCTCACTGACAGTGAACGTTAGCTAGGGAGGTTTACAGGTTTGGGGTTTTTTTTACAGCTGGATGGGTTTTTTTGGGTTTATTTTGGGTTTATTTTACAGTGTTTATTGCTGTACAAACAGAAAAAAGTGGGGACTTGTCCTCAGGAACTGCAG